TTATATTTTGAGCTCATCATTTTCTAGACAAGTCATTATTTCTAGTCATTGCATGTAGTTCTATTTTAAGTTTCTTAATATTCAATTTATTCATTTATGCTAAACTTGAGATGCATCCTGTTAGGTGGATGAGACAGCTTTTGAAACAGTTGAAGAGAGAGCTTTATGGAGCACATTTACATCATTGAGGAGTAAAATTCATCCTGGTACCTCCCTGCATATATAATATATATACACATATTAACATATACATATATATTTCATTCTTCTTCTTTCCCTTCCCTATATTTGTCTTTCCTCCATTTCACGTCACTTTCCTGTGTTAATCTGTTACAGACATGGAGGTCGATGATTTTGTTGAAGCATCGTTTGATTTAATACAGCCACTGGAGGATTTCTTCAACAATGTTTTTGTTATGGTGGTATGTCATCCTTAATAATCTACCGATAAAAGAATGCTACATTCCAACTTTTTCAGGGTTCGGAAATAAAAGGTTAACAAAAAACTATTCTGAGGTTTCACCTATTTACAGAAATTACATTTTACCTTCTATGATTACAAAAACAATTATTATTATTATTATTATTATTATTATTATTTCGATTATGTTACAAATATATCACTCAGTAAGTGCAATGTGGAGAACTCTGTCATAATCATCATGGCATGTGCTTTCTTATACAGTTATACAATGCACGCTTTAAGACCTCATTCTATCATTTCAATTTGGGACTCATATATTTAAGAACAATGTTCAGTCAACATGCATATTATGTAATATACTCCGAACTCTGATTGCAGGAAGATGAAAGGATCAGAAAGAACAGGCTTGGACTACTACGAAAAATATCCGATCTTCCAAAGGGAATAGTGGACCTCTCAATTTTGCCGGGCTTTTAAACCCTTGGTTTTGGTTTGTAGAAGTATGGCACTATTACTGACGAGAGCGCAAGAAGGTGTCAATGTCAGTACACCGTCCAAGAAATTGTGAAGAACCTTACCCAGAGGTAATTGCTATAGGAGTCGGCTGGTGAGAATATTTTAGTCGTAGCATTTTTTCTTTTCTTTTGGGTCGTGCTCGTGCAGAACCAGAATGTACTTGCAGTTTGGTTATCCTCCAACTATAGTGAGTTTCATTCTTCAAATTTTGTAAGAAGTACTAGGCTCAAGCAGTGTTTTAAAAAGTGCTAGGCTCCAATCAAGTGAAGATTGGGTCTTGACCACTATGAAGTGTATGAATGGGCTAAAGGGTGTGCATGATGAGCGGACAAGGGACAACCCTTATGGGACTTTTTCTTATTTAAAGATTGTACTAAGTACTTAATGCACCCTTTACTTATATTAAGATGTTCTTGAAGAAAACTGAAAATGTGGGCAAGCATTAATGTTCATTATTAGATAAATAAAATCTGAAAATCGGTTGTTCTGTAGACCAATTATTATGATTTATGTGAGAATGGGCTTACGAGTTATGACCTGTTTTGACAAAAATAAAGTAAAATGAAATAAATAAAATCAATCACATATTAATATGTATACATACCGGCAACAAGAAATGCGTTAATAGTAAACATGTGCATTTGAGTTTTATTATCTTCAGAATACTTTACACTACCATGGGACATTAATATATGAGGTAAATGTATGGGGGTTTGGGTTTAATTAATCGTCTGTGGAATAATTTAGGGAGAATTTTATATATACACAGCGTTTTAAGAATAATTGCAACAATACCAAGGGTTGCATTTTATATATACACAGCGTTTTAAGAATAATTGCAACAATACCAGGGTTGCATTTTAATTGCAAACTTAACATGGAATTTATTTGTGATTATTCAAGATATCAGTTACCTAAAAAAATAGATCAAGTCTCCTTAAATTGAGGGATTACAAATTGACCACGTACTCACCTTCCTACAATCACGGATCTTTAGAATTGTACTGAAAGAAAAAAAGGTAAGTGTATATAACATACAAATTAGGAACCTAGTCAACCATGTATATTTCTTTCAACGTTTTTTTTTTTTTTTTTTAATTTTTGCAATTTGTCTTAATTTATTATGTATATTGTTTGTATATTTACAGTATATAAAACAAGTCGAAATCATACTCATGTACATATACTAAAAATATATTGTCGACCTTAACATATACTAAAAAACAGTATATTTTTCGAGAATATATACAGAAAATATACTCATTGTATACAATCGACATAATAGAAAATACACAACAGATAAATTAATCTTGTCATTACATACAAAATATATACAAAAGATATACAAAAAGCACATTAGACCGTAAAAATTCAAATTTCAGAAATTAATTCCTTCCTTCTACACACCCAATTCTCTATATCCCGTCATCCACAAGTGCAGCCGCCAGAGTCCATTGTCGTCTCTTTAAAAAACAACTGCAGGGGTCCATCGCATCTCCGGCTTCTAGCCTGCGCACGAACACTTCTTTTTTCTTTCTCTTTTTCTTTTTCTGTTTTTAGTTGCGATCTCTATTCCGGACCACTTCGGCCAATCCAACGACCGTCATAGCCTTCACGACACGAACCCAGCGGCCCCCGGCTATCAGCCAGAATGACTCAGCCACCACCACAGACCACCACGTTCTCTTCTCTTCAGTTTATTATTCTCTTTTTCTTTTTGTTGTTTTGATCGCAGGCCCTCTCAGAGCCACCTTGTTCGTTTTCTCTGGCGTGTGAAGAAGAGATAGAAGCACGGGCCAGATGAGAAACACACGGGCAACGAAAACATATACTGAACATATACTTCCTATATACGAAACATATACTGTCGATTGTGTTTACAGAAATATATACTGAAAAATATACTGTATATATACGCAACATATCCCAAACATAATAAATCAAATGACAAAGTTCTTAAAAAAACTGAGGACTGGGGAGAATGGCGGTTAGTAATTTTCAGGCTTTGTCTTTGATAACCGCATCAACAAATCGAGTAGCCGAAATTAGAATCGGTTTATTGCTGCGGTTATCCGGTGGAATTAGGGCTCAATTTTCCAATCGAGAGGCCATAGGGAATGCGGCTGAACCCGCCGATCGCCGCGAGAACACGAAATACCATCAAATCAAAAACAGAATCCATAAAAATTCTAATACAAGATTATGAAAAGCAACAAAAAAACATGAAAGCAAACTACTTGGATCTCTGTCTCATCTTTAGGCACTTCCTCTTAAATCTCCTCATGCTTATCTTCTTCCACTATTGAAATATATATATATGCAGGGTATACAAATTGCTGCAAAAATCAATGGAATCAAAATTAATTTGTATGATATAGATGACACATGGGCTAGAGATGATTCACTTTCGCTCTCATGGTGAAAGATGAATTGCGACTTAACAGTGATGTCGCCGAGATCTGAAGAAAAAGAAAGGGGGAAGAAATCGGGGGAAGAAGAAAAAAATGAAAGTGAGAGGAGAGAGAAATAGATGTTAACTAGTAACTTCCGTTGATTTGCAAATATTTAGGATAGGTTTTCTAATTTTGCTAATAAAATATTATAACAGTATATTTGCAAATATTTTGTGATGATCTCGTTGTAGGCGTAATTTTCTCAATAATTTACGCTTCCAAGTGACCCAACAGTTTACCAGAGTTCGGGCCAGCCCAGTTGAAGTCTTAAGGGGCAATGGAATAAATTGGGCCGGGCACAATCTTTCTATGTGCCGTCAAAGAGAACCTACGTAAAGCTTTTCCCCACATAATTTGACCCGACCCGTAAAAAAATCCAACTGCGGGATCTGTCGATAGGTAGTATCGGCCAGCTGAACAGTTCGCAGTAATAGTTGCCGCTGAATTCGCCACCGTCGTCGATGGCCGAGGAAGAGATTAGGGCAGAATTAGAGGCACTCGAGGCGGTGTACGGCGGCGATTGCCTGGTCATCGAAGCTTACCCTCCCCATATCCATGTCCACCTTAAGCCGCGCACGGCCGAGGTCTCCTCTCAACAGGTACCTCCGTTTTCTGGTTTAGAAAGCATTGCTCGTCGAGATTTGCGGACACTGATGACTTTGTTTACCCTATGATCACATCCTCCTTTCGATTTTTGTGATTGATTTTTCCGGCGATAGTCTTGTCTTGTTATTAACTTTCTACTGTTGAATATCAGCATGTGGGTTTTTGAGAGGCTGAGACTGTTTTCCAGCCTGAAATTCACAAGAATGAAGCCTCTGATTTTGTGTTATTGAGAGTATAGGACTTTTTTCGGTGAAGAAGATTGTCTCATGGTTTGATGACGATCTGTTTTGAGAAGGCACTTCTAGTCGGTATTTGGTGATATGTTATGAATAATCAAGAAGGCACTCCTAGTCGATATTTGGTGACGCTGATGATTATGTTTACCCTATGATCATTTCCTCGTTTTGATTTTTTGTGATTGAAATTTTAAACGATTTTCTTTTATTCATGATTACTATTGTCCCCTGAGTCTTGTCTTGTTAGTAACTTGCAACTGTTAAGCATTAGCAACTGAAGCTTCTGATATTTTGGTATTTAGATATAGGACTTTCTTTTTTCGATAAAGAAGATTGTCTCATGGTTTGGTGACTTGACGTTATGTTATGTAATAATCAAGAATTCAAGATTGAGTTGGTTTGTTTCGTTTCAATTAAATCAGAAGTCTTGTTGCTATCATTATTGGGATGCTGTCGGGATCAATGGTTATTCTTTTTCCTTCTGAATATAATTTTTTTATATTTTCGATACACATACTTAATTGTCTGGGTATGTTGCGGCTAGTTATTCTTTTCCTTCTTGAATCTACTACAGGCTATATGCCACCATACTTTTTTTTGCTGGCAACTTATTTGTTTTTGTTAATCTTTTCATTTTTTTTTTTTCTGTTCCATTTCTTCAGCTGCCATTGAAATATTTTTTGATACAAAATTAGATGATTTTAACACTGACACTGATTTCTTCTGCAGTTTGTCGAAGCAACTATCGGAATGCGAGCTGGTCCTCAGGTAGTAAACTCAGTGTAGGAGTTTCCATTTTCTTTAGCATATCCATATCATTGAAACAGTGCACGTCAGTGTTGGAGACAAAACATTGTTGTACTTATTATCAACTAATTCTCTATTGCAGTACCCTGAAGAGCCACCAGAGATTGGTGTTATTGATTCCAAGGGTCTTGATGAGCAGAGGCAGAAACATCTTCTAGCTAACATTCGTGCGGAAGCTTTAGAACTAGCTTCTTGCTTGATGCTCGTGGCACTTTGTGAGGTAACGATATTGGGCTTTTGATCATTTTCTTGGTTTACTTTTTGTGATGCCTTGATTTTTCTTGTGTGATAACTTTTTTTCCTCATCAAAATTACCCATTTCAAGATGTTGATAGCTTCATGACCTTGTTAGGGAGCAGTGGAGAGGCTCTCTAGTATGAATCACCCTGATGGGGACTGTCCATTATGTTTGCATCCATTACTAGATGATGAAGATGCTGATGGCAGCTCATTACCCTTCATGAAGTTAATGTCTTGTTTTCATTGCTTTCATTGGTAAGTTATGTTTGATAGAGTTACTCTTTTTAATTTTGGATGGTCTCATCTTGTATAATGGGATCTTGAAACTTATTAAATTACTATTTGCTTTTCGCCAATTGTTGCAGTGATTGCATCATCAGATGGTGGAAATGGTCCCAGGTCCGAACTGATCAAGAGATTAAGAGTTCATCATCTTCAAGTTCTTCTAGGATAATGCATCAACAGCCAGGTGTGCTAGACTACATTATTCATCCAAAATGTCCTGAGAAGAAACTCTAGTATTTTATTTTTCAGTTGTATTTTAGTCCTTTGTTTTCTGAAGTGTTAAAAATTTTACAATTATTCACATGTCTTGGTAATATTATTGCAATTGCGACTTCCTTGTGTTTGGTTTTTGTTATATTGGTGAACTTGCTCAATTTGATCTCAGATTTCTGTTCCAATGCATGATTTGTCTCTTGCACAGGCACACACAAAACAGTGGAGGAGAATAAGGCAAAGTGCCCTGTCTGTCGTAAAGTGTTTCTTGCCAAGGATATTGAACACGTGATTGACTTGGTTGGGACTGGTGACCATTTGGTATGTCAAATCGCTGTTTATACAGTTTATTATTTCCTTCTTTTTCAAAGCAATAGTATCGAGCTTTAATTACACTTAATAGCGTTGCTGGCAATTCATTCTATGGTTTCTTTATCAGGATTCCAGTGGGACTGAGATCGACAAAGACATTCTTCATTCTGATTCTGAGAAATTAAGAAGACAAAAATTTGAGGCAGTACTTAGACTCCAGCAAGAAAACCATGGCTTGATTGAGCCCAAAAAGAACGAGGTCTTATTGCCAGGTGTGTTTCTTCCACAGCCAGTTGCCACACCCCCTACAGAATCTGACACTGTATCCAGTGAGCCACGGAAAAATGGCCCAACAGCCAAAACGGATGCCAATCCAGGAAGTTCCTTCAACAGGCCCGGCCCAAGGAGACACAGCAATTATTCTAATACCAGGAAGCACAGACCCCAAAATTCTGGTAAGCAGGCAAGGAATTGGACAAGTAAAGAGGATGCTACTAGAACTTGATTCTATGACTTCCACCCCAAGAGCTAAGTCGTTTGTGTGAAAAATTTATTGAGGTGAACGCGTATAAATTAGAAAAGATTTATTTTACATGTGGTATGGTTCTTGTGTATATTTCATCGTGGCTGGTAGTTAGTGTTGGATTTTTGACCATTTTCTCTCTCAAAAGAAGTTGCGCGATTTTCAATCATTCTTTCATGCCCTTGAGCCCCCCTCTCTCGTAATTCTATGTTCTTATCTTTTGAAAAACAAAATGCAAATCATAAATATGAGTGAACAAGTGAAAGTGATAATTATTTTTTAATTTTTTTTTGTAGTTACATAATTGTTGATTTGAGATGATACAATGTTGCAAAGTCGGCTCTGATAGTGTTGTGCTTTCCCACTATATATGTGTTTTAATGGCAGTGTGGTATCAGTTGCTATCTTGACGTGGGCCAATATCTCGGATGTCCACGGCCACAACCCTAAGAAATATCAGGCCATTTGACCAGCAGCATAGAGAAAAGGTTATGGTTATGAACCAACCACATGAAAACACAATAATTAATAAAATCATTTCATCCAGATATTCTGTTTGACAATAAATGCAACACAAGATTATGTGCTTGTTTGGGAGCACTTCTGAAAAAGTCCATTTAAGATATGGACTTATCCAAAATGGACTTCTCCAAAAGTCTCAATTATTTACTTATACAAAATGGACTTTTTGGAGAAACAACTTATCCATAAGTCCATTCATTATTTAACACCAAACATAAATATTTATTCAAATGGACTTTTGGATCCAAAAGTCCATTTGAAAAGTGTTTCCAAACAAGGCCTATGTTTATGTTATATTCAAAAGTGACTAACAACAATATTTACTGTGGCTTTTGCGAAAAGCAATCGAAATGCCTAGTTAAGTGTGGCTAATCTGTCACCACACAAGCTAAATTGTAACAATTCCAACTTTTGCCCTGCAATCACTTCCCAACTCCCAATCATTGTCTTGCTTGATTGATAGATAATTCATAGACGTTCCTACTGCATGATTAATTAATGAGATGAGATAGAGATACATCAAACCAAACTTTTTGCCGAAATTGGTATATAATAGCTTTCATGATCAAGTCAACATAATCACTCCATCTATCATCATGATTGAGGAGAAAAATTGTATCCCACATTAGTGACTTATGCCAAAAATTGATTAATGTTGGTGGTTGCAATATGTACCTTCTTATTCTTGTATTTTTCTCTCCTTATAATAAATCGAAATAGATATTTATATACATGTACTTCGTGATCATCAACAAACTATTGCATTAGCAATTTCATGCATATTCACAGTAAGAATCAGAAAAGCGAATTTCATACGACGACTAAGTGTGGATGTCGGTTGAAAACTCTCAAAATAAAAATTAAAATGATACTATCACCTAACTACTATTACCATCTGAACATTTGTGTTGGGCTTTGAACTTAAAAAATTCGAAATCCATAAATTTCAAATCACTCCCTCAATCTAAATCTAAACACCATGCTGAGTGAATTATAAAACTTGTCGAAGGGAAAAGAAAAAGAGATATTATACAGAAAACAAAGAAACATAGAAACAAAACAATACGTGGAGCTAAGCATCAAAGTAGCACCCCAAATTCGGCAAGAAGAATTTCCTTTTGCACATCATAATCAAAAGATATGAAACCAGTTGTGGTGGTACTAATAAAGAGCAAGTAATTTTCTTGGGATCTGCAGTTTGCAGATAGTGGTGGCAAAAACTATTTTTGTGCAATGGCTTTGGTATTATTGGTGTTTAGATTGCTAAATCAGGATGCATGCGGCGCATGATTAAAGTTCATGTCTCTTTATTTTTTTCATCCTTCAGAAAGAATGAAGAAAACAAACTGGCCCTCTTATGGTAATTGTCTAGAAATAGATATAATTTTGTGGCCCCATATGTCATAAAATTATTGATCAAACTGTTAAAATATAGATGTAGACGGTATCTTTTGGCTCAATTATTTTCATTTAAAATATTCATAGAATTTGAATTTTTCCAATATGAAAGAACATTGTTGAATTCCTAGCAATTATTGCATATAAAAGTTTGCTGGACAACTAAATCATTGTAATAAATGACTTAATTATTTATGAAGGCCCTTCGCTGTGTCATAATAAATGAGTTTCCATTTCCGACAAAATTAGTTAATTACTCCATTAATAAGTGATGATAGCATTAATGTATTTCAATGTACTTACAATGATAAATCTGTTATTGTGGACTTTTAACTATGTGTAAATAAAATTTGTTGTTTGCAGACATTTATTTATTTATTTAATTTATTTCGAGAATTTATCAATTAGTAAAAAAGAAACAGTAACATACAAAATAGCCACAATAATGCAGATGGTGAAGGAAAAACAAATGGAACCAAAGAAGGAAATTTATTTATCGATAATCTATGTTTTTTGGCTACCCCCATTTGGTAATTTACACACATCAATTCAATCCAATTGAATTTTGTACAATGTTTTATGGGCTTCGAACACTTGAAAGGGGAAATTCAAGTGTGGCACAGGCCATATGCACCATTTTGTGGCATTGAATTATTTAGCTCATCTCAAAATTTCTATCTATTTTTGTAAAATAAATTTGAAGTCCCTCAAAAAGGACATGTTTTTTTTTGCCTAAATTGCCTCCAACCAACCAGTCCTCGTGCCATTGTTCGAAATTTTAACATTACAAAATTTCCCAACTGACATTTTAACCCAAATGCATAAATCCAATTTCGATCGAATATTATGCTTATGTATGCAAACGAATGACTTTATAAAAGCACGTTTTAATACATATTCTAATCATACTTATTTTAGCATTATGGATGACTAGTGAAATTGGTGAATGAAACATCAAATTTTACTTGTATTTTTATTATGAAACATCAAATTTCTAGCTACCTACCATTTTATTAGAAGATATACATGATATTTTTGAAAATTAATTTTGAGTTGATGTGGTTTTGTAATTAAGTAGTTGGATAGAGAATAAGCCAAACCATCACCATGTAGTTTAAATAAATATATAGTTAGGTAAGAGTTTTATTTAAATCATTATAAATTACTTTTTTATTTTTCTAAGTAGTGACCAATCAAAAACCGTTGACAATGGTTTTTGATTGGAATCAAAATGTGCAGTAACAAATGGACACACATCTAACCTATCAGCTACTTTTTATGAATGCTTCGATTTTTATCTTGTAAGTTTTCTCTTAAACACCTTATACTATGTTCTAAATTTAATTTTTATATTATTTATAGATAAACAAAAGTCATTTTAGCTCCTTTCTCATATTTAAGGCAATTAACAACGTTTAAATAATTTTTTACTCGTAAAAAGCTGGTAAAATGGAGAAAAGAAAAAAGAAGAAGAAGAAGACTTGGAAAAAGGGAGCAGGGTGACGTGGCAGTGAAGATTTGGCAGTCAGGAATTTGCGTCGAAATTGATATTAGATCCTCCGTCCACATTCTCCGGCCAAAGATGATTGATTGTAGGCCGTCGATTTCATTCACTCTCTGGGTCCCACAGTAGATCACAAACACCACTTTCTGTTTTCACAGTTGCACACGTCCTTTTCTCCACCTCAAACCGTAACACAAATTATAGCAAATTTATATTAATTTTCCACATAGTGCATACACAAACACGCACATAATTATCTTTGTAAAAATTTCAAGTTAATTTTCATTACCATATATATAGTGTTTTTTATTTTATTTCTTATTTCATGAAATGGTGTAAAAAATATTCTTTCTTATTAATTTAAATTTTTCACAAAAAGAAAAAATGTAGTACAATCAACGGGTTTGGTGAAAATTTTGGTATCTGAATTGCAGTTGGGTTGACGGTGAAAATTGCAATACAATTGCGTGTAGGATCAAACCTTGTCACAACAAATACAATGTCTTGAGAAAAAATAGTTAAGAAGAAAGAATAATTTTTAGAATAAAATCGGCAAAAACAATTAATAACTGCAGTGCAGTTATGTGTACTAGAGAGAGAGCACCAATTAATGGTTGACAAATGAGTGTAGATTTTTTTTCGAATAGTACTCATCAAATGTACTATGTAAGTGTATTTAATTTCACAATAGTTAATTAAGAGCGAGAATATGCATGACTTAATAAGTCTCCTTGTCTATAATTATACCAAATGTTGGCTCTTCATCTACATGTTCCATACTTTCTCATCACTATAAAAAGAGGCCTAACTCAAAATCAAATCCAACACTTGCATATGAATTCGCAATTATAAAAATAAAAAAATAAAAAATATAACAACACACACACATATATATATATATAGTAACAAAAATCCATGAGGCTCTCAATCTCTAAACCCGTACGGACATGTACCAAACCACATTGCCACACAATCACCAACCCGAAAACCAAAAACACCCTCACCACAAAAGTATTCGAAATTCCAAAAAGAACCCTAACAAACCTCCCGATTGACGCGAACCCAAAATTAAAAACGAGCCCTTCTTTTCTCGACCAACTATCTCACGACCACCCAACCCGAATCATCAACAAGCGGTGGATGGACTACCAAGGTTCGAAAAATTGGGAAGGCATGCTCGACCCGCTCGACGACAACTTACGATCTGAGATCATACGTTACGGCCACTTTGTCGAGGCCGCCTATAGATCGTGCGATTTCGACCCCTCTTCCCCCTCATACGCCACATGTCGCTTTCCCAAGCGTAAGCTTCTTGAGGAGTCGGGTTTTCCCCACACGGGCTACCGAGTCACCAAGAACCTTGTAGCCACGTCTGGTATAGAGCTTCCAGACTGGGCCCAGGCCCCAGTCTGGATGGTTCGCAAATCCGCCTGGATAGGGTACGTGGCCGTGTGTCACGACCCAAGGGAAATCTCGAGGCTCGGCAGACGGGACGTGGTCGTTGCTTTCCGAGGCACGGCCACGGGTCTCGAGTGGGTCGAAAATCTCCGAGCAACCCTATCACCTCTCCATTTCAATAACCCCCAATCGGTGGAGAGCGGGTTCTTGAGTTTGTACACGTCGGGATCAGAAAAAAACCGGCCGAGTTTGCGAGAACTGGTGAGGCAAGAAATATCTCGAGTCCTCCGAGTTTACGGGCAGGACGAGCGACTGAGCTTCACGATCACGGGACACTCGCTAGGGGCGGCCCTCGCCACGCTGGCGGCCTACGACATCAAGGAGACGTTCGGGAAGTCGCGGATGGTGACCGTGGTATCGTTCGCGGGCCCACGTGTAGGGAACCGGAGCTTCCGGTGCCAGCTGGACAGGCAGGGGACAAAAATCCTGCGGATCGTCAACAACGATGACGTGGTGACCAAGGTGCCGGGATTTGTGGGGGAGGGGTGGGTTCAGAAGCTGGTGGAGGACGCGCAGTGGGGGTATGCTGACGTCGGATGCGAGCTCAGGCTCAGCACCCGGGACTCACCCTACCTCAACGGTACGGATCTGGCCACGTGTCACGATCTCAAGACGTATCTGCATCTCGTGGACGGGTTTGTGGGCTCCAACTGCCCTTTCAGGGCCACGCCCAACAAAATGATGATGACCAGATCAACTAATTAATAGTAGTACGTAATTAATAGGCGAGTGAAAAAAAAAATAAAAAAAAAAATTAAAGTAGGATTAATACTAATTAACAGCCTGAATTAGTATAAGATGGTCCGATTTGGACGCGAGGAATTGAAGTTGATCATGTCGAAACGTGTAAATTAATAAATTTCTTAATTAAGACTCGTATAATTATACGAAATGTTGGAATAATTTAAAATTATGGTAATGGAATGAAGATAAGTAAAAGTTTTTTCAGTTTTTTTTTCTTTTGTTTTTTAGATGAATAAATGTCATTTTGAAGTTTTCAACACAGCATTTTAATTAATTTTATCCCTTTTTTTTATTTTATTTCAAAAAGAAAATATAGCTACAAATAATGGATGGAAATAGTAGTATTTTTTTTTAATAAATGATAATCAGTGCAACAATAATCTTATATTTATATAAATGAGAATTATTACCGTTTTAACTACAAGCTTAATTTGTGGTTAAAAATATCATTATGTATTTGGAAATGCATTAATCAAAATTTTTCATTTCTTTATTCTTAACAATGATTTTAACACATTTTTTTTTTTTTTNCCTGGTTTAATTAACAAATTAAGAAAGAAAAATGTAAAATTGAGCAGCAAAAAACACCTGTAGGCTGTGGCCCTCTGATAAAGAAAGATTCCAAAATTTTTATGTCCTTTGGACGGTACTTGAAAAAGCTGTATTTTGTTTTATTTGGCAAATATTGTCCAACCAGACCGGCCACCGACCGGGTTCAAGAGGACTATTACCTAATTGGGCCGCCGTCTTACTGGGCCGCCGTCCATACCCAATTTTATCTCTTGGTTTTTGACATTGAGACGCATATAGTCGCAAACATCATGCACACGTAATTATCAAACGCTTTAACGCTTAAGAGTTAAAGAAAGATAATATAACAAAGTCTAAAAGCGCATCATTATTCTGAACAATAAATAGGATGTGAAAGGTGAGAAATTAAGATTAATATTAGCAGCAATTTTGAACGTATGTTTCGAGTTAATAAATCTATCATTTAATATAATATGATATTAATGTATAGTACCCATTGAGTATGTGAATGATTGACGACGAAATCTTGAGTTGATAATTTTTTATGTTTAAGAAATCTTCAAAAAATAATGAAAAGAAAGACAAAATGGTAGTTGAATAGTCTACTACTATACAATGTGAGTGCAAGAAAAAAAAGAAAAAAAAAAGATAATAAACATTAATAAAATAACATCAAACATTCGGAAAAATAAAAAGTTGAATTTAAATCACGTTAATTTTGGGCCTGAAGATTTTTATTACAAAATCCACATATATAAAAAAAGGATAATAAACATTAATAAAATAACTTCAAACATTCGGAAAAATAAAAAGTTGAAATTTAAATCACGTTAATTTTGGGACTCAAGATTTTGATTACAAAATTCACATATATAAACGCTTAGAAAATATTTTTTTCTAAATAAATATTTTTTAATTATCTAAATTTTAGTTAAAAGTATATTTTCTCTCTAAGAAACTGTAGTACATGGTAGTGGTCGGTAGTCAGAAATTCACAAGTCTAAACACACACACACACAAAATCTCCACTAATATCCAATGTGACCAAAGTACTCTTCCTTTAATCCTTTAATTTNAAAAAAAAAAAAAATTGCAGTTGATAGTCAACATTTGGTTAATGCTTTACAATTCAGCCAATTAAATACTAACTCACCAATGTAATTAAATATTAATGAATTTGTTTTGGTTAGAAACAACTTTTCTTCAACTTTAAATTAATAAATCACCTTTTATTCTTAAAAAATTATATATTTAAAGCAGTGAAACAATTAGATATATTTGTTTATATAGCAAATGTGGATTAGGTCTCATGTTCACTCTAAAACAATTACCATTCTACAAAAAAATCCAACAGTAAAATATACTAACAAAAATTTCAATAAATATTCTAATGATATAACTTTCGACGTTGAAAAATTCTTACACATATCAATATTAAAATATTTCATAGAAATTAAAATGTCGTTGAAATTTTAGTTGACATTTAAGATTTCACGTGGTCATTTTTTACTGGTTTATTATTGTAAGAATTCCGTTAAAATATGTATTTTTCGTTGGATTTTTCATTTTGGGTAATATTTCAATCGTTGAAAAAATTGTTGTTGGAATTAATCGTTAAAATCCAACATAAATTTTAATGAATAACCCATTCCAAACGGCATTATTCGTTTGAATTTCCGTTAGAATCCATTGAAAAATTCCAACAGAAGTAACAACATTATATTGAAATATACATTAGAATTGCCACTGAAATTTGTTGGAATATGAATATTCCATAGGAATTTTTCATCAATATTTTATCATTTACTTGCCGTGGCTAGTCCCACCTTGAAATGGAAAAACTCACCCTACATGTGTGGGCCCTAAACCATCCCATCAACATAAACTCGTGCAAGTGTATGTATGCATGTGTATGATACAACGATTCAAATTAATGCTGATGTGGACAGTATAATCGAACCTTCCTCGTGAGACATGCCTCTCATGAGACACACTGTTAAAAGTATGCCCCTTGAGAACGTGCATGCTAGAAATTGCACCTCTAAGTAAAAGGAAAGAAAGAAGAAGATGAAACTAAAGAATTAGAATCAGTCACGATCGAGACAAAGAGAGAAAAGTTGGACTTTTTTGGTGATTATTGCTAATTAAATACATGGTCAAAAGTGTTGCTAGTTATACTGACATAGGCAAAGAATAATGTTATACCAACAATATAAAACCATAACTCGTGTACCATATGATCATGTCAATAACTCGTGAATCATATGATCTCAATTTTTGTATGATATTGAGTATACTTAGTTTTATGTGCTACTAAAAACAGAAATAAGAAAATTGAAAAAGAAATTAAGGAAAACGATTCAGATTTTGCTACTATTTATCAATGTGAAATGAAAGTACTAGTGAAACTTTTAAGGTCATGAATGTAAATTATATTGATTTCAACTTTTCAAATTACTCATGATATAAAATTTATCTAGGCCAATAGTAGTTGTTCCAGAAAGGGAAAAAAAATAGCCTATTGTTCTATCAACGGCACCTTCAATGAAAGGTGATCATGT